TTATTGGTGAAGACTACCTACCTCAAGGATCCTGAAGTTAAGAATTAAAGGGAAAACAAGAGACCCAGAAGTTAAGAAGAAGCTTGGGGGCTCCTGACCCTTTCACTGAATTCCTCTCACTGTTTAAGAAGTTGAATTCTTTATTTTCTAATTTTTCAAATCTTCTATATCTTGTAAATGTCTTGAAAAACTTTCATGAATTATTTCCTGCTGTACCCAACAGAGTTCTCATAGTGAATTAGATGAAGCTATCTGCACTTATAAACTAGTTTACAAAATTTGGCACAATTTTCAGTAAGATGTTGCTCAGTGTTTTCTGTTGCACGCTATTCAACATAATATTCCACAAACAATAGCTCTTAATTTACAACAGACTAAAGTTGTACTCTTGGCTTGGAAGAAAAGATGTTTATATTACTACATACTAATTAAAACACTCAGGCTAAGGGGTAGTGTCATATGGACTCTGCTGTTGAAGATAGCCTAGTATTTATGTAAATAATTAAGGATCTTGAATGTGTAGGTAAAGACTCTCTTTCTAATGCTAATATCCTTATGGACTATTAGCTAAAATATCATGATTGTTTTTATTTTAGTATATGTTCTACAGGTCATAAAACTTAATTGTTTGTGATCCAAGCCAATATAGGGCAACAAACCAATCCCTGGATGCACACTGCAGGAAAAGCTTGAAAGGATTTATCTATTGCAAACCTCGTGTAACCACTAACTTCTAAAAATACTGGGCTTTATGTTTCAGAGCTTGACAACATGCTCCTAAAGTTAGCAGTTCTGGCATTGTCTGGTGGCAAATGGACTTCTTGGGCCATTCTCCACACTTTCTGAATCCTTGTGAGATTTAAATGCAAACTAAAATAATTCTAGCTATGGCCAAAGGACTTTTGAGGAGGGGAACAAATTCCTACTCTAGGCCAGAACACAAAAAGTTCAGAGGAAACTCAAAACCAAAGATCCAAGATCTTGAATAACAGATCATGAATCAAGAGCCATGCAAAGGAGATAGAAAGGTGATATGTCATAAGACAGCCAGAAATACCCCTAATGATTGTGTTTCTAAGTAAACAAGAAAAATCAGGGGCTTCAGGGGAATGATTGGGATTTTTCTTTTTCT